TACCTTCGATAAAGCACATGCAAGGCATAAATCAGCCGAGATCTGAATATGCTGAATTCCCATTAAAGTATGTTTTCATAATATCTCCTCATTGGGGCTGGCAAACGTCTTACGTTTCTCGCACATAGCACAGGCAGGCAGGCAGGCGAACAGCCTGTGAAACTCTGAAGAAATACATGTATCAAAAACTAAATTGAAATGGAATGCCTGAACATCATAAATAAACATGTATTCTAGTTTGCATGCGCGCATCAAGTTTAATGCGATACGCAAACTTGCACTTGTTGCTACACCGCAGACATGCCACACCCACACACAGACACGCAGACACGCCCACCCACATGATCTGATCTGCAGCGTGCTCCATTTACCCTGTCTGTGCGCATGCCAAATTGGCCAAAATGCGTGGCAGTCATAAATCGGCATATAAAATATGATTTAACTGAGTTTTCTGGAACAACGGGCAGCAACATGTGTGCGTCTACATTGTTTTACCCAGCTGAAGGTCACGAATTGCATGCATTTCGTATTTTCCTATTTCTTATTTTATATTTTGTATCCCCAGTGATTCAGCGTCTCACTGAGTAATAGAACTTTACGAGCAATGAAAATTTAGACGAAAATTTAGACTGTGTGCCAAAAATGAATAGCCCATAGCATTTAGCGGCGTTCAGCGTTTAGTGTTTGTGCTGCATATTTGATAATTCATTATTTTAATTAAAATTATATTTGATAAGAGATATGCAGAGTTTCACTCGCTTGAGCTCGGAGCAGACGCGTCTGAAACGTCACTTAATTGGTTTTCGTTGTTGTTCGCCGATTGGCGCTAATTGAAGGCAACTTGTTGAGCGACTGACTAGCCTGGCCACAGTGAAGCCTACGACGTGAAGACCGCCGACTGCTAGTGGCAGCCGTAAACAAACTTTGTCATTCGCTTCAAGTGGCCTTCGCAGAAAAAAAAAAGAGAATTATGCGTGCAAGAGAGCAGGTGAGGGAAGGCAAGGCGAGGAGGCAAGTTGAGGCACTGCATCATGGTCTGGGCAAAGACAGCATACTCCAGTGCACTAATTGATTTTCAATATGTTTTTGGCATTCACTTGCAGCACATGCTGCCCGAGGCTTGAAAACTTTTTCAAACATGATTGCATCAAGCTAAACGATTTAGTGTTATGAAATCAGTTTACAGCAAGAATTTACAGCTACAATAAATTTTGGACAAACTGAAAGCGCTTTAATGAATTTTTCCGAATTTGTAGACAAAATGAAGACATCAATTTTAATTGTTGTCACTTAACATCGGGTTCAAGTTCAGACGGCATTATGCAGAGCGAAAAGATTAACAACAAATTACGAGAGTAAAATATACTTTTTAAGACTAAATGGTTGCTGAGTGAGCTGAAAAAAAAACGCAGAAATGTCAAGAGTCTCTAATACAAATAAGATAAGAATATGCGGAAGTTTTCTTATCTGTTAAAAAATCTTGGCTGGGCTAAGACTGAACGTATGCTATATAAATATAAATTATGAATAATATATTTCCGAGAAATAGCTCACTGAAACTTAAACAAAAGCGAATAAATCGAACTAACATCCTGTGTGGAGGAATTCATTCATTATTATAAAAGTGACTCAGTGCAGGATATATTTTTCAGCCACCCCATCAGTATTGAATTGGATTTAAGAATTAATTACGTGCTCGCTTTAAGCTATACAAATTGAGGTGCTAAAACTTTCGTTTGATTGGCTAATTAATCAACTATTTAGCTCATTAGTAAAATTAACTGACACATTGAGCAAAAACCGATATAGCTGCTAGGCAAATGGAAATTGGCCGCAAGCTAGCAATAACACGTATACGCCACATTGGACAGGCCTCCTCGAAAGTGCGCCGCCCCCGCGCACCCGCACGCCCGCAGCGCGAGTGAAATTCAATTTGTCAAGCGGCAAACGAAAATTAGCTGCACTTCGTGCAATATAATTGCGTTTTGCTGTCGTCTCTGGCCTTTTTGGCGGCTCAAAGCCTGCGCGAGGCACATTAAAGATGCAAACGAAGTCTTTGCCGCAACCACAGCCACAGCCAGAGCCACAGCCAGAGCCACGAATCGTGTCAACGACACATTGTCCAACAGCCAGCAACAACAACAACATCAGCAATAACCACATTTGCACCACTAAAGCCATCAACGGCCAACGTAACTGTCAAAGCCGCATAGCAATCGTGGCCCAAAACTGCGCCTAGACTCTCTTCTTTTCAGTGGCAGTCTTTGCCCCTTCTTCTTCTGCTCCCCAGCCCCGTTCGTCCACCACCCCCGCTGCGGCTCTTCACTGGCAGCAACTGCAATTCCATTGCCATTGCCATTCGCCCAAATGACTTGCTAATTCTTATGAATATTTAATTTTATGCTTATGCTCATGTTTGCCTTATGGTAATCAGAGATTTTGCCCAAAAATGAAAATGAAAATTTCATGTAAGTGTCGAAATGACGATTGGACGCACAGTGGCACAGAAGCATAAGAATGAGAGACAAATTATAAAAAAAGTAAACCGTAATTTATTTGTTGGCAGTCATTGCTGGGTCTTCAGCACAGTGGGACAAAAGAGTACGAATAAAGAAAGCAAAAAGCAAAAAGATTGTAAAATATGAAAGTAATAAAATTGAGTTATGCGTCGGTTATAAGTCGGTAAAACACACTGGAACAAAAACACTTAAAAATGCCAAATAAAATTTAAAACGTGATATATACTATATAAAATAGGTTATTTTTTCTAATTTATAGTAGGGATTTGAATATTACTGTCCTTTGAGCACAGTGGGACGAAACACGTCTTTTTTATTTTGGTGTCCCCGCTTTTTGCTTACATTTAGTATAAAAAAATTCTCCATTTTTCGCACCACTGTGCACTCTGTTTATTTGAGCATGTGAAGCATATATATCTGTATATATATTTTTGGGCTGCACTTTGGACTTTGGCGCTGTTATGCAAATGTTTAAAAGGTTGAAATTGGAGAAAAAGCATTTCATGCAGTCCGGGAACCGCTCTGGGAAGCACTGGAACAAGTAAGAGATAGGTAGAGAGAGAGAGAGAGAGAGTGTCCAATAAAAAGCGAATAAAAAGTTCAATTGTATCAATTTGGGCGGCAGCACATTTTTGTGCGAATATAAATTAAAAGTGCGGCGGCCATCGAATTGGGTTTTTGTCTGCAAGCAGGAGAGAGAGAGACATAGAGAGAAAGAGAGAGGGGGAGAGCTAGGCTCCCACACGAACAGGCGAACAAGCGAACGAGCGACCAGCTGGGGCAGAGCTCATCAATCATAGCCATCAATCAGACGTGAAGAGCAGGCGCAAGTGAAACGAAAAGAAAATCAACTTTGAAGTCGACGGCGCGCGCCATAAAATGCAAAACGACGAAGAGCCATTCCGTGTTCCATTTCAAATTGCCAATAGAACAGCTCAGTCAAGTCAAAGAGATGTATGGGCGATGTATGCATGGGGCACAGCGTTGCAAGAGATTCCTTGTTCCCACAACAATTTACACAAATTACAGTGATCTCAGACTAATTTCGAATATTTCTCTTTATTGTCTTGCTAAGTATTTCTGACAATTCTGATTCACATCGAGAACTTATTATGAAATGCAGAGCTATATTAACTAAATCACTTCTCGGGAAGTGGCCCAGTGCCAAAAGAATGCGCCAAAATAGCGGAAATGCAACAAAGCGAAATGCATTTCAAATGCTGCTCGAAAAGTTTCCTGCTAATTCATGTGCCTCATTTAATAAGAATAATATTATATATAAAAAGTCTGTAAATTCTGTTTATATTTTTTATCAACATATTTTCCAAATTTCATTAGAATACTAATTATTCAATGCTATAAAAATTAAATACGCTTGGCTCTGACCTTTTTTGACCTCAGCTTATGGTCATATCAACTTTGAAGAATTCTCGAAACTTTTGAAGGTTTCAGCAGTATCGAAATTTGGTTTTCAGTTTTCCCAGAATATTACAAGCAACCCGTATGCATTGTGGGTCAGCCACCGCACCGCACCACCAATTGGCACGCCCCCATTTAATGCCGTCTGGGCGCTGTCTGTTACCTCATTAATTAAAGCTGTGTGTGTGTGTGTGCGTGTGTGTGTGTGTGATTTTGTATGCAGTGCCGTGTGCGGTTTGGCAAGCGTGCAATTATGTGTTCATACGCTATTTTTAAGCGCTTACGGTGAAAGGTCTTTGGCAGTGTGTCACAGCGGATAAACAAATCGAAAGTGAGAACGAGAATGAGAATGAGAGAAAGTGAGAGTGCGAGAAAGAGAAAGTAAGACAAAGAGAGAAGAGAACATGTATGTAAATCACACGTTCTACTCGCGCGACTGCCGGTTCATTATGAAAAAAATAAATAGAAACCTATCAGCTCTTCACATTTTCTATTTGATGTTAATCTAAAGATCTGTTGATTGAAAAATGCTTAGCACATGTCACGATGATTATTGCCATATGCAACGGCTCAGTGGCTCGGCAGTTTCACACGTATTTTAAAAGATGTCAGGCATTAAATAAGACACGTCATTCGTATCATTAAGCCATTATTTCCGCCAATTCCAGCGGCCCAGTTGATACATTTTTTCATTTGTCATTTGTCAAGCGCCGAGATGCTGCTGCCTCTGGCTCTGACTGGAGCTATTCTTTGGCGACAGAAGACGCGCGAACGGCACATATATCGCATATCAAGTGGCATTCAATGATTCTGGCTCTATCATTTGTGAAATGACATCATGAAGCAACTTGTGGTCATGCATATTTAGCGCCAGATCGCATTCAATGACGCCGTCGCCATTAATCACAATCGCTGTCTACCGAGTGAGGGTGGCAGGAGGTGGATACACAAAAAACAAGCAACAAAAATAATATAAACCTCAACGTCAATTGCAATTGGCGAGTATTACCACCCACACATGCACACACAGAGATAGATCGGGTGAATGATAGATTTAGCATGCACTGTCACAAGTGGAAATTTGTTTATATCAGTAGTAGTAGTAGTAGTGTGGGTGGGTGACAGAGCGTTGTCGAGGCGTACAAGTCAATCACAATTGTTTGGCGGGCCGGACCATTTGATGAGACGATGTTAGCTTAATTACAGTTATCACTTTATATTGAGAAACTTCTTCTTTTAGGAATGCATCATACAGTTAAGTCGTTATTCTAAATGCTTGTCCTTCTTGGCGCCGATATACAATACCGACCAGGACTTGTCCGGCATATCGATGTCCAATTTTTTCGAGTTAACACTAGGAGAAAAACTAGTTAACCGCTTTTCCCTCCAATTCTCATTCACTGCATTGCACTCACCTGGTTTCAGAGTTCACCAAACGATGACGCTGATGCAATGGAATGCAAGTCTGTTTCGGAGACGGCTTCAGGTCAAGACACATTTCACTAGTCAAAGAGTTCATAACCGCAGCAGCGCCGTTCGTCTCAGAGCCCTCGCCTCCGCACTTTTCCACACCGAACTGTGAAGACATCTTCTGGGTAACACAATAGAACTCGAAACTAGCCGAAAATCTTCTTTGAATTTCTTATTGCGTGTCCAAATGTAGATTTTCTTAAAATTTATATTCCTTCAACAAGACCAAAGTATTGAAAGTAACTAAACTAAAATGATTTTCAGTTTTGAGTTGTGTGTGTTATGTTTTATTATTTGGTAGGGGCAGTAAAGCACAGCCTGCCAGGTGGGTTAGGAATGAAAATATGTCTGTGAACAAACTGTGCTGTTTCCCAACCACGTCAAACATGCGATGAAATAAAATACATTGGGTGCTCGACAAGCCTAAAAGGAAAGCCTAAAAGTATGCTACAATATATTTATGCAAATATTTAGGTCTGCGAAACGAAATCGAATAAAATACTGAAAGAGAAACTGACGTGCTAGAGAGACAACTGAATATATATGTATATATTGAATACATATTGATATGTATCTATGTATATATGTATATCATATGAGATAGCTTTCTGAGAGTGATTGATATGGTCCGCACTTTTGTGGAATACAATTTCCAGCCGGTAGCAGCTTATATAAATATAAAAACAATCATATCATATATATAAATATATATTTATATGAAATCTTAAATTTAAAACACATTTCTATTAATAATAGAAAAACAATTCCCTCCCAAAGTTTGCTTGTAAAACGCAGTTCGCTAAAAATTTCATCAAAAAATCATTGCCAAAGGTAATTTCTAATGTATTAACACCTGTACGGCCAGAAGGTTTTCGCCATTGTTGGTCATCCGGCTAATAATGCTGCCTGGCACGGTTATGGCGCGATTGCTGCCGTAGATGTCCTTCAGGCTTTGAGCGGCGCGAATGTTGTAGGCCTCGTTGGTGTGCACCATCAGGTACTCGATGATGGGCCGGCTTCTGGTGGGCCACAGGGAGACGGTGCCCACGATTTTGATGTCGTCGGGGCGAACGGTAGTTAGCCACAGCATGAAGATCTCCTGGTCGGGTATGCAGCACGCGGCGTTATGGGAAAGCGTCTCCGAGTCTCTCAGGCTGAAGAATTCAGTTATCTGCATTCGGGCTGTCATGATGAGCACTGGCAGTAGATCGGGATGTTTGTTGGAGTTCGAGTCGAAGAACTTGTCCTTAACGAAGTAGACCATGTTGCATTTGGCCTGGTTCAACATGGTGACTCGCGTGTCGAGGAAGAACGTCTTGGCCATGCAGGGCGCGATGCGCTCCATGGGCAGGGCGGGATGCTCGTGGGTGAGGTGATCGTTGAAGTCCGAGATGAAGAACATACGCCGGCACTCCGAGTCGGGACAGAATATGGGCGAGCGACACACCTTGAGTGGGCGTGTCATATTCGGCTGCAAAACCTCGCGTTTAATGGACAACAGATTGACTAGCTCGTTGGGGCTGCAGGGCAGCGTGGAGAACTGCGGCGGTGGTGGATCACGGTACTTCATCAGCTCCACTGTGTTCAGGCTGTGCAGCAGCTTCTGTGGATCCTCGGGGAATCCTCGGAATCGTGCACGCTGCACTGTGGACACCAGCATATGCAGTTTGCTCAACAGACGCTTGGGCTTAAATTCGTGGTGATCCTCCGGCTTGGGCAAGAATACGTCCTGGAGCTCTTTAAGATTGCAGTCTTCATTGATCTCACTTTGAACTTTCTCAAACTGCTCCGTACGCAACAGCTTTTCGCTAAGTGCAAAGTCGACTTGACTCTCCGCCGGCGGTGCGGTGGGCTCAACTTTCAGCGGTTTCTCTTTCTCCTGCTTGTCGGATTGCTGCCCAGCATTGGCACTCTCCTGCAGCGATTCCAGCAAGTGATTCAGTTTCTCATCCAAAGCGTCGCCGATAGTTTTCTCCTTCTTGTCCGAGGACATACTGAGCTCGGTGCCCGGCTCGATATATTTGCCGAAGTATGCACCACCGCGCTGTCGGTCGAGAGCCGCCTGTGCAGTGGCTATATTTTTTTTTCGTTCGATTTCCTTGTCTCGCTTGGCCCTCAGCTCGGCCAGCTCCGCCTTGACCCGAATGTACTCCTCCTCAACACGTTGTCGTATCTGCTCCCACTCGCCAACCAAGTGCTTCTTTTCTTTCAGCTTGTTGATTAGCTGATCATCCAGTTCCTCCCGCTCCACCATATCGCTAGTCGCGTCCTCCACGGTCAGATGCTTGACCGGTCTAACGGCTGCATTAAAAATTGGCTTCCTTTCGTAGTCTAGCATTGTGGTTGGACTTTGGTCCTTGTCTGTCTTTTGCTCACGCTTGGCTAGGTCTTCTCGATGCTTATTTGTGCGCCACAGCAGCTCCTCCTGAAAGGGATTTAGCAACTCCAGCTCCTGCACCTTGATTATATCCCGCTTACTCTTAAACTTGATCGACGTGCGCGAATTTCCAGCCCCCGGTGTTCCAAGAATTTCTTCTATAGTTTTCTTGCACTGACCGCCTTCCTCGCTGGACTCCTGCTCGCATTGCCTGGCCGTATGGCTGCGATATTCCGCACGGTCCTTCCTACGATGCGGCTCGTTTATAGCTGACTTGGAGCGATAGTGCGAAGCATGCGGATAACGATGATTGTGCCTGTCGTGCTCCTCGCTGTGTGACCTAAACCCGCGCCCCCTCATGGAACTGAGCAGCACCTTGGAAGGCAGCTTGGTCCCCTCCCGTAATACTTTGCGTGCCTCCCGACGCAGATCGTGTTGCGTCTTCCAATTTCGTAGCACATCCATTTCCCGGTTGTCTCTTGTCTTGGCTCTCGCTTCGCGCTTGTAGTTGACTATATTATGGCTTGAGTCCCGTAATATTTTTATCCTAGCTTCGCTATCGATGATCTTATAGAAGAAACGCAAAGCCTCACACTTCGGGCACCAGTCCGATGTGCCCTCGATGTACGAGTCCTCCTTCGTCCGGCGCCGGCTGCGAAACTCGAATTCCGGATTGCTGCCCAGCTCGGACTTGCTCAAACCGCACATCGTACACGCATACATTATTGGATTCGATTTAATGATAGTAAAAACAGCTGGCCAAAAATTCAAATTGCGTATATTTTAAAATAAAATAAAAAGTAAATATTTACAATAATTTATGCCAAACACAGAGAACCCTACCTAACTACTATTCAAATCAAAGCACTTCGAAGTAAAAAGCATAGCGCCTTAGCTTGAAACACATGTATATTAAGGCATTTGCTTTGTGTGCACCAGCCAAGGCAGCCGCCAAAAGGTGACGATGATTCCACCTTTGGCCAAGTCAAGTTCCCGTCTAGAGCTGCGGCTAGGGTATTCAAATCTTCTTCATGTCTTCATTTCTTCTTGTTTGCTACACAAATATAACACACATATGCAGATTGGCCTCCAGCCATGCAAGCCCATTCACCTGCTGCGAGGTTCACCAAATGCTGCGCACACTCAGACGTCACTCGGGGCCCACGTGCTGACCGTGAATTTTACAGCTGCGACAAGGCAACGGTAGTGCGAAAATAAGAAGAAGTAGAGAAAGACAAGAGAGAGAAATACAAGAAGAGAGAGAGAGATATTAGAGACCTCAAGGTTACATGTGGAGTCAGGCAAAGCCCATGCTCCAGTTGTCATGCCGCCGGCCCGAAGATCTCGAGAGCCATTGAAATTGTCAAACGCCCCCCGTTAAGAGGCTGCACCGGCCAAAAATCGGCTTAGAGCCGCGTCCAATTGAGTTTCGGATCGGTTCACTTGTTGCTCTGGTCAATTTTGTATTTTATTTCTATTTTAGTTTATTTTATTTTTCATTTTGTTGACTTTGTTCGGTGATTCAGCAACGTTTGAATGCTCGTTGATAAGATGCGCAAAAGTAAGATAAATAACGGAACATGGCATCGAGCCAAGTCAAATATTGAGACGCACTCACACTTTCGAAGGCCTAGCCGCACACTGTATAAATACTCCAAGTACCAGCTGGTCAGCCATCAAACGACTCTGTGCACTCAGACAATAGACAACATGGTAAGCGCATGTGCTCCAGCACAATCTGAGCATCCACCACCAACAACAACAACAACTAATGAGTGGACTTATCCTATTGCAGAGAACCGGCTACGTCTCACTTGCCATTTGCGCCTGCTTGGCTTTGGCTGCAGCTGATGTCTCGCATCTGACCAGCAGCTACCTGCCGCCGCCCAAGCCGGAGCAGGTCGAGCAGATGACCATCGAGCAGCACGAGCTGCGTGAGCTGCCCGAGCAGGTGGACTACATGCGCGAGAATGAGCTGGGCGGCATGGAGAATGCGCCCAGCAGCCAGCTGACACCGCCAGCTATGCCACAGGCGGAGGACATGCTATCCACTCGCTATTTGCCGCCAGCTGAGCCTGCCATGCCCGCCCAGAGCTATCTGCCTCCTGCTGAGCCGACGGCGGCAATGCCCACCGCAGCTGCAATGCCCGCCATGCGCTATTTGCCACCCACTCAGGCCGAGCCGGAGCCAATGATGCAGCCCGAAATGATGCAAGCCATGGACTACTCAGCCCCCGCTGAGCCCCAGCCAGAAGCAGAAGCAGCCATGCGCTACCTGCCGCCCGTGCAGCAGGCCGAGCCAAATGCCTATCAGCAGTACCAGCAGCAATACCAGCAGCAAGAGCAGCAGCAGCAGCAAGAGCAGCAGCAGCAGCAACAGCAGCAGCAGCAGGAGCAGGAGCTGGAGCAGCAGATGCCCTACATTCTGGACGTGCAACAGCCAATGGCGCCCTCCGATGCCGAAACTCTAGCCCTTGAGCCAGAGCCCGCCCACGAGCTGCGCCAGGATGGCTATCATTACCGACACGCCGAGCAGGAGCAGCGCCTGAGGCACTAGAGAAGCCACCGAGTCATCGAATTGTTGTTAAATGTTAATTTAGTGATTAAAGCTTGAATAAAATGAGGGTTTACTAAACTTTGATCCCGGATCGTCATTGTGGTAAATCGTCGATGATTGGACATGGAAAAATACCTAAAATACCCAGTTTGTCGCACCGTCCATAGGCTAGGATTAGGGTCAGTGCACGACGATAGTGTTCAGAATGCGTATCTCGTCCTCGTACCGAAGCGAAGAGTCGTCATGCATCACCTCCACTCTGTGGATGGTAAACTCAACGTTGTGAGTGGGCACATTCAGGGTGACCACGATGCAGTAGTGGAGCACATGCAGTTGATGCGTGCGCAGCATGTACGACGCCCCCTCCGACTTGTTGAAGAGCGGATGGTCCTTCGCCTGGCAGTCGTACATGAAGTAGCCGCCGCCCGCGCCATCACAGAAGCCGAATGCCAGTGAACGGCCCTGAGCCGATATAATACCATACTTGTAGTGCTTGAAGAACTCGATGAGCGCATCGGCAAGGTTCATGTGATTGATGGTGGGTATGCGATAGAGTTTTCCGGTGCTCACGTGATTCATGTAGACCACAAACTTGATCGAGTCAAGGGAGCAATCGACGTCCAGGCCCTTCGGCCTCTTGCCTTTGCCCTTTGTGGATGTGATACTCTTGCGGAAGTACCTGTTGCCACTGACGACAATCCTGTCCAGCAGATGGTCGGTCCAGTCGATCAGATCAAATACGCTGGCCGCGCAGCAGGCGACCACATAGATGGCAAGATATTGATTGCAGCGTAGCCTTTTCTTCAAGAAGGTCCTCTCTGGCAGAATACTACCCCATAGGGACCACAGGCGATCTTCGATCTCGACGTCGTAGTTATTCAGCTTGCTCAGTGGCTCATCGCGATAGTTTCCTGCCGTGTTACGTTCATATTTACGGCTCCAAGGTGGCATGCGTCCCTTCAAGTTCAGCCACTTGATTGACTCATTTTTGATTCGAAAAGCCATTGGAGCCCATACGCAACAGCGGCTGTAAATTGCACAGATTACATATACACACATATACCTTATCGAGTACCTTAGAGCAACACTCACCAGGCCAGCACACGAGCAAGCTTTTTAAAAGATTTTGAGATTTTCACAAATTAACGGATTTCGTATAAGACATTCTAAAAGTGTCAAAAGAATTAGTGTTTGAGTAAAAGCAAACAGGGTACCTAGCAATGAGGATAAACTGGGTACTCCATTGAATATTTATCAACGATGTGAAATACACACTCTTATATTAACAATAATTGCGACTGAATTAAAAGTAATGAGAATAAGCCAGTACTTAGTACTTAAGTTAGTCTTCAGTTTATATTAATTATAATCTCTAATACATAAAGAAATATTGACAGTATAGGACGCATGGTTATAGTTAGTAATATAGTTTCATTCATTATTTTAAAGCAAACTTGATATGTATGTACTTTATAAGTCTCTAGCTCATATAGGCTCTAAGTTCGATGCGTGCATGTATGAACGCAAGTGTTCGGCACCCTGTTCAAAAAGATATACACGCCTCGCCTTTTCAGCATGTTCGCGACAAGCCTGTTATACCAAATACGGATTTACCCTTTTCAGGTGGTATAAAGGTATGGAGATATAGACAAAAGTACAAGCATGATTCAGATTCTGCCTTTGAGAGGATTGGGCATTAAATCTATTTAACAAGTCTGTTTATAACATAATACTGAAAGACAACAGCCCTATACCTATCGCTATTACTTCACTTTCTTATTGGTCTTCTGCAACGGCTCTGGCACCTCCTCCTCGCCCTCACGCATCATCTCCACCTTGTGGATGCTAAACCTGACGTTGGTGATGGGCACATCCAGTGTGACTACGATGCAGTAGAGCAGCACCTGCAGATGCCGAGTGCGCAGCAGGTACGAGGCGCCCTGTTGCTTGGGGAACAGCGGTAGATCCTTGGCCTGGCAGTCGTACATGAAGTAACCCTCGCCCGGGTCCGGACAGAGGCCAATGGCCAGGGCACGCTTGCGCACCTTCACAATGCCGAAGCGATAGTGCGCGAAGAAGTAGCTGAGTGCCTCGGAGAGATTCATGCGATTGAAAGTGGGCACGCAATAGAGCTTGCCATAGCAGACGTGCTCGATATGAACCACAAACTTGACCGACTCCAGTGCGCAGTCTATGTTGAGGTTCTCCAGTGAGAGCTCGTAGTCCTTCGCCTTTATTTGAGCACAGCTCTCCTCGAAGTACTTGTTGCCACTCACAACTATCGTGTCCAGCAGTCGACCGCTCCAGTCCATCAGGTTGAACACGCTGGCCGCGCAGCAGGCGACGACGTAGATGGCCAAGTATTGACGTCCACGAGACTTGCTCGGAAACACAGGTGCCTCAGGATGAAGACTGCCCCACAGAGACCACAACCGGTCCTCGATCTCGATATCGTATTCATTCAGTTTGCTCACCGGCTCCTCGCGATAGTGCCCCGTCGTGTTGCGCTGATACCTTCGGCTCCACGCAGGCAAACAGCCCTCCAAGTTCTGCCAGTGTATTGACTCATTTTTCGCCTTGAAAGCCATTGCCACCGAATATATAAGACACTAGCAACACAATTAAATGCAATATTTAGTTCATTGGAGTTCTAGCATAGGTTACCAAAAAAAAAAAAAAAAAAAAATTAATAAAATGAAAATCTATACATATCTAATTTAAACAAAGCTATAAAAATTGTGTTGAGTTTTAAAGAACGGAGCTCCTGAATCGTCAAAGATAGTGATCGATTCATGATTTTAATTGCTTTACGAGTCTCAAAGTGGAATAGAAGTAGAAACATTGCCTGATTATAGATAACTACAATCTCCATTCACATACTTTTAATTCATATATGTAAATATCAAAGATTTTCGGCATCAATCTGATGCAAAGCTCTGTTTTGTGGTTGTTCAGTTTATTGGAAAGCCGTTCTATAAAATTMAATATATTTAATAATTACTTCTAAAACACAGATATAGTCGTCACTAACTACACTCGAAGACCGCCACTGCACTACAGCTCTACTGATCACCCTCCTCCTCCTCCTCTTCGTTCTCGACCGTAGCGCCCTCACGCAGCATCTCCACCTTGTGGATGCTAAAGTCAATGTTGTAGAAGGGCACATTCAGGGTTACCACGATGCAGTAGAGCAGCACCTGCAGATGCCGAGTGCGCAGCAGGTACGAGGCGCCCTGC